AGTTGACAGTTTTTACTCAATCTTATCTCCAATAAAACCCTAAAGATAACCTCCTCCTAAAAACTCTCAACTTCCTAACTTAAATCAAACTCAAATACCAGAAGTTATTTTATCTTATGCTACCTAAAATCCAACTTCTTTAAAAATCCGTCTGGACCCTTAAGTTATAATTCAGCCCAACCCAAATCCAGCTTGCTAACTTTTCTTGATAATTGAGCTTCACCTTGACACGTGACCTTTCCCTCTTGGTTTATTTTTAGGTGTAAACAGATGTTTTTTTCGATGCGAGAAGATTGAGGAAGGAGAGGTTTTTATACAGAATAAAAGGTTGGTAGTTTGTTGAATTGGTTTTGTGGTAGAGTGGAGGAGGAAACTAGGGAAGTTATAAGATGTTTTAGGAAGCCATGAATGGAAAAAGAAGGTAATGCTAATTTCATCTTCACCAGCACAATATTCTATTTCATAAATTAGGCAAAAATCTATTTTTAACCCTTTACCTTAACAAGTTTGTAAATTTTAACCTTTAACCTTATACTATAACACTTTTAATCCCTCACATATACGAATTGAAAAAAATAACTCTTACTTAATAGTAAGTTATAACATTCATCAATTGACTATTAATATTCCATTAGTTCTATTCTAGTTACCGCTAATAATCTGATGACAGACTGTTAATATTCTGTTAACAATTAACTGACAAACATTATAATTTCATATTAAGTAAGGGTTATTTTCTTCAATTTATATAAATAATAGGTTAAAAGTATCATTATATAAGTTAAAGAGTTAAAACCTACAAACTTATTAAGATAAAAGGCTACACGTAAGTTTTTGCCCATAAATTAAGCATTCGTTTCCTTCATAGAAAAATGAATAAAGGTGGTTAGCACAGAACCAAAACCGGACAAACCAAAAAAGAACGGAGTTTGAGACCAGAATCAGCCTGAATCTACATAGTGACCATTACTACATAAGTGAGGCCGCAACGACAAGAAAATAGAAAACGGTATAGGAAGCATACCATGTTAAGAAATGTTAACCCAATATGAGAACAAACTTTGGAAAAATAAATATATAACTTGAAATGTCATGTTCATAATTCCTAGTATAAAACTAGTAATTCCTTAGTTCGATGAGGTCGTTATTAAAAAAAAAAAATTGTTACATTTTAAATCAAACCCTCTAAAGAGTGTGCAACAAATTGGGCGTAACAACTTGTAGAGAAAATATACTCTTTCCCTTACTCTTCTCATTAACAGCTTGAAATGTATAGAAGCTCCATTTTCACAATGTCCAAATGATACATGGCACTCAAAGTCAATTATTCAAAATGGAAATGCATGTTAAATAAAAAGGTTGGGAATACTAAAAGAAACAGGCATATTCTATATGAATAGACTGTAACAATGATACCAAAGAGTTATGAGCTAAGCATCTGATAATGGTAAGGGAAAGAATGATCTTAAGCCTCAAGATCAGGCATATTCTATATGAATAGCATAGTATTGGAAGAAATAAAAATGCAAAAGGACAGATTTAGAACTTTTTCCACATATTAACAAACCTATCTGCTAATGACTTCAGATCTTCCCACAAGGTTGAATTTTTCAGTTTTGCATCATTTGTTTGCTGGCTAGAAATGTTCCTGGAAAGCAGAATATGGAATATCATCTTAAACCAGTTCATAAATTGGTAGAGTGAATTCATAAAATAAACACAAATAGAAAATAATGTTCTTCATTGAATACAATACAATCCAAGTGCAAAGCAGCAAATGTTATAACAAGCTAACTGGACAAATTAAGTCCTTTTATAATTGGCTTTATTTGCTATAGAGTTTCAACTGCATACTTCAGAAAAACATACCAACAAATATGCTGACAAGGATAATGAAATGCTGCTCAACTTACAATCTGATACACATAAAAATTATATTGAATGTAATTCTGCCTCGACACATTTATATCAATTTCTCAGTTATCCCACTAATTTATAAGTTCTTAGTAAAGAAAATAGAGAGCAAGCAGTTTGATTTATGGAGCTTTCCTAAGCTTTGAAATTGGTTAATGACAACGAAAAGGTTTATCTGCCCCAGTTCCTAGGTTTTTTAGTCCCTTACACTATGTCTGGTTTAAGGAGAGGGAGGTGAAAGAGGTGTCAGTCCCTTTCCCTCCAAAAAGTTCCCCAAAATTGAGGGGAAAGGAAAGGGGTTAAAAACTTAAATTTGATATGCTCATTCGCTTGATTTTAAGTTCTCTTTTTATAAATAAGGGTATGATTATCAGAGTAGATTAAAAATTTCTCCTCCCTTCGCTTTACACCATTTAACCAAACAAAATACCCTTTGCTTTCCCTTCCTCTCCCTTCATTTCTTTTTCTTACCTTCTATCCAAAAAGAATGTTTTTTTGGCATTGGCATCACTTCATCTACTTGCTGCTGACAATTTATTATATGGCTACATGAGTTGATAAGCACCTTGCAGCTAGCAACCCTCTTTCCAAATGGGATTGTGTAGACGAACCAGTATGTTTAAAGTAACATATGTAAGCATGTTTGTGTCGATGTATTGTCCTCTACCCATTTGAATAAAGCTAAAATAAAATACAGACGTCATGCCAAGCACTCCAAGGAAGAGTGATCAAGATTTAAAAATCCCAAGTGGGAAAGAATGATCTTGAGGCTTAGATAGGCTAGTGAGACTGTACCCTCACCTACCAAGCTATTATTTTGGATTGAGGTCATTGGTTAAGAAGTGCTATCATACATACTAGGCAACCTAGGTTCACACCAAATAATCCAAGCCAGAGAGTAAGCAGGGTGGTCTGCTTTGTGCCATGAGCACTGTGGACTCAGGCTAGGGAGAATGTCATGCCTAGAGCTCCAAGGGATACAGAGAAATTGTATAGAAAACCCATATTAGAAAAGACGAGGGATATGGATGCTCATGTAAAGGGGTGGTACCATTATTAGGTTGATGAACTTACAACCAAAAAAATTGCCAGCCAACAGAAGAAATAGAAATCTGAAGGCATAAGTAGAACTCCTAGTGTTTTTACCATCATCTACATAATTTGATTATGGGAATCAAACCTAGAACCAATCAAATATCATCCTATAGCAAACAATATGATCTACTCACAAAAAAGTCATAGATTAGTTCTCATCATCTTAGATTGCAGACCAAAGTGCAAACCTAATTCCATTAGAATAATAGCTTTTAGGGGAGTTGGAGGAAACACTTACTTTACAGATTTTTCATCTTCCATAGACTGTTGGTTTTTCTTAACTTTGATCTCTGGTCCATCTGAGTCCAGCAAGTTTTGAGAAACTATCTCCAGCTTTTTGTCTTCCTCAGAATCTTCTAACTCAGTCTCTTCTTTTGGTTGACTTTTTACTGCACTAATTTTAGCTTGAGCACCATGAATCTCCTCTTCTTTACCATCCACTGTCATTTCAAGATGTTGATCAGAAGGTTTCTCCACTTTTTCTTTAAGATGACGAATTTCTGGGCTAAAAGTATCCAAATCCTGTTCCAGGACATCCTGAAGAGGAATACCCTCAATCTCCTCAAGTTTACCATCCTCTGGTACTTCAAGAAGATTGTCAGAAGCTTTCTGGAAATCCTCTCTTGTATTGTTCTTTGATTTCTCAAAAGTCCCCTCATCTCCTTTCAACAGCTTACTTTCTTCTAAAACAAAATCATTACCATCCTACAACAGGTATGAAAAAGGGCCTCCATTATTGCTGTAACAAATAAAATTAGACTAAAAAATTAAGGCTATAAAGTGACAGAACTGTCGGTTAGTAATAGATATTTTGCTTTTAGTATCAAAGCAAGCCAAAGTGGATCACACTTACTGATGAGTGTAGCTTTACAAGCTCTTGAGATAAGGTCATCTCAACCTTCAACTCTCCCTCAGCTTCTAGTTGGTTGCCCATAGCTACCGTTTGAGAGCCATCTTGGATTCCTACTGCAGGTGAGACCACTTCACCTTCACCTTCAGCCAAAGACTCAACCTCTTTAGGGACCTCCTTTTCAGATAACTTTTCAGTCTTGTTATCTGAGGAACATAATTTAGATTTATATTCTAACTCCTGAACCAGCTTTCTAATGATATAGTAACTGCCACCCACTTCTTTTTGGACAACAGATACAGTTGGGAATTTCCCTGCATGATTCAATTTATATCTGTGGAAGAAAAAAAAGTAATAACCATCTAATCCAATCTCCACCATTGCACCAACTAAATAAATAAATATACTTCAGACGGTCAACCCAACAATTTCCATCCATATCAATTCTAAATATGTTTAAGAGAGCCATACATGATAATGCAAGATAGCCTGAAGGTTCGCTACAACAGATTGCAACTTCAGAATATGACACACACAATTCATTCTTGACCAGGAGAATCGCTGTCTCTGTCTAGTGTTTAAGAATTAAAATCTCTGGTAAGAGGCAAGCATACAAGCTCAGTATTGGACATGCAAGTTGCTTGAAGTGTGATTGAATATCTGTGACTGAAATGTGTATGAAAATTTAAGAAAATGGAATCAATGTTTCTCCACATTACACATCAAGTTGATTAATTATATTTTTTCAAGATGAAAAGGCTATCCTCATAGTTCCTATTAATTCAGAAGTATAACTAGATGTAAAAAGAACTTGACTTCTGCTGGATTGCAAGTTTGGAAGAGCTCAAAAAGGACAAAACAAAACATACATAATTGTAGTCTGACCAAGACCAACCAACAGGAATGATGACCCATACCTCACATGACACATGATATACCATAAGAACCAAAAAACTGAGCTCTACATATAATGCTTAGAAAATATTTCTAGCAAATTTATAACAATATCCCTCAAACTGATGGAGATTGGAGTCAGAAATCTTAATGGATCAAATGGTCCTTATATGGCCATCACACGTAGAGAGAGACAATAGGACCTTGACCCAACAATAAGGTGATCCCATACACATAAGACTGATGCTAATGCTCATGAAGTAAGACCTCAGAAACACAGACATCAAGTGAAAAATTTTCATAAAAATGATAAGATGGCGGTGAAAGGGTCAAGGAAACACCAGAAATTCCATTAGGTGCCAAAAACCAACCTCATCAAAGTCACCACATAGGATGCACATAACTTGAAAACTCATTTAACTGCGTCGATTACCAGACCATATATATATATATATATATATATAAATGTCCATTACCAGATGAGGATGCATGCATCTCAACATATGACTAAGAAAATGCTAAACACAATCCAGGGCAGGATCCACGAACACAAATGCAAAGCAATATAAAAATCCATTCTAAAAGCACATGTTATCTTTGAATTGACATAAAGTCACAATAAAAACTCTTCCATCACCTATCAGTTTTTCTTTCCCCCAGAAATTTCCAATAATCTTACACGTAACATTGTCTGGAAGCCATTCTAAAGGAAGCATAAATCAAATTAACTACTAAAAATTTTCACTTAAAAGCAGCATTTTTTTGTGAAAATCAGAAGAAGATTAAGACACAAAAGTGCAGCATTCTTTTTGACAATCATAAGAAAGATTAAGACCCAAAAGTGCTAAAGGGAAAAATCAATACTTGCTCACAAAAGACGCGACCATAGCATATCTTTCTTTCTTGGGGACCCTTTTCCGAGCGTTCTGAGGATTTGGGGTGTCAGAAGGAACAGAAGCAGCTTGTGATCTTCCCCGCCGCTGAAAATTTGAAACCCAGACACCATTTCTTCCCTCAGCAAAAGCTGTAAAATCAATAGCCAGGCAATCAATCACCCATTTTTTCACTTAAACGCACATTTTAAGGAAAAAAATTCAATCTATTGTTGTTTCCTCCTACCAGTTTTGCTTGTGGAAGGGGAGAAAGAAGCGCAGTTCTTGGGGCAGAAAATACGTCCTCCTCTTGCAACCTGCATCATTCAGAACCCATGGCTTGCAGTTTTGAACAATCTCAGTGAGAAACAGATCAAGGGTTTATAGGATTTTCGGAAAAATGCTTATTTTGTTTCTAGGTTTCAAGTTTTGGTATTTGGACTTCGCAAAGCGCCTGAAAGAGTTCGAGTTCCCTTTTTTTTTTTTTTTTTTTTTGGTTTGGGCAACCA